AAGCTGCCCTCGGGCAGTCCCGGTCCCGGGTGGCTGAGAGCGGCTCCCACTCGTTCCCTGCAGCACACACACGCACCTTGTAGTGTGCACACGTGTGTGTGCACACCCGCCCACCCTGCAGTGCACACACGCACCTTGCAGTCCACGCACACACCTTGCAGCGTGCACACACGTGTGCACACACGCACCTTGCAGTCCACGCACACACCTTGCAGCGTGCACACACACACACACCTTGCAGCGCGCACACACGCACTCACACGCATCGCACGCACGCCTTGCAGCGTGGGCGCACACCCGCGTGCACACCCATTCCCTGCAGTGCGCACACGCACCTTGTCGTGCACCCACACGCGTGTGCACACCCGCTCCCCGCAACGCTCGCACACGCGCCTGCACACCCACCCGCTGACGCCGTGCAAGAAGAGGGTGCCATCAGCGCCTCGTCGCACGGGGGTGAGCGATGTGAGCACCCTCCTGCCTGCAAACGGGGTGCGAGCTCGAGGTTTCCCAATCTGGCCCCAAATGAGGGGTTTTTTTGATGGAAAATATGGGAGGGAGCCCGATCCCTGCGGAGTCCCAGGGCCCAAGGACCCCGTCGGTGGCCGAAGTGACGCAGAGCTGAACCATGATCGTGTTTCATGTTATAACAAATAAATACTAGGCAATTTTATCATGTGGAATCCAAATTGAAACAAGAAAAAAAAAGGAACAGTTATGAAAATGATGGTTTTTTCCCTCGGTAGGAAAACCAAACCTCATTTCTACCTCTGAAACCGTGTTTACTGGTGTCCCAGGGTTGCTTGACCCAGATCCTCAGCTCGGTGGCAGGGACCCGAGGCGGGGGGAGTGGGTACAGGCAGCCCCGACTGCAGGCAGGAGCCAGCAGGCAGCGGGGCTGCTCTTAGAGATGCTGACCCGCCAGTAGCACCAAACCCTTTTAGGAGCAGGAAGGCTCACGGCCGAGGCACCAAATCCTTTCGGATGCAGCTCAGCTCTGCTCTAGTCCATCCAAACCTCCCCTCCCTGATGCTACTGTGGGAGATGTCCTCGTCCCACTCCCGGGATGCTGAGTTGAGTGGCAAATCCCATATTCCATCCCATTTATCGCCAGCCTGTTCCCGGCATTGCTGCTGACCTGCACGCTGTCCGTCTGCAGCCCCAGCTCACCCCCCACCCCTTCACACGCACGCCTAGAAAGAGAGAAGCTTCGTTAACCAGAGCAATAATTGTCCTTTATTAGGCTGAGCTCCCCACGGAGAACCCAGATTCCTGTGTATATTGCTTAGGACCATCAAAATGCATCCCCGCTCTTCCTCGGGACAGCGCGGTGGAGAGGAAGAGCGGGGAGCGGGCACTCGGATAGTATAAATTAAGAAGAAAAAGGAACATTCGTGGTGCCAGAGCATCAGCCGTTGCCTCCACATGTGGTTTTGCTCAGTTGGGCAGAGGCTTTTCGCAGATGTAGAAGCACTCATAGGTGCAGTAGACATCATTCCACTTCCCAGAGATCCAGATGTGGGCACAGTCTTCGTTGCCGCTGTTGTTGGGCTCACCCTCCTTCCAAAATCTGGGCAGAGGAGGATCAAACTGAGAGAGGGCAGCAGGGGCAGGTAGCTGAGCGGAGCAGCTTTCCCTGGGTCTGGGAGAAGGGCAGGGACTAGCTAAATCTGTCCAATTTTAGGTGGTTTTAAATGCTAATTCTTGCCTCTGCTGCTGTGTTAGACCTCATGTGAGCGCCCGTCCCAGGGCAGGGTGAAGAAAAACCGGTCTGCTGGCTGAAACAGGGGTGTGCGGGCAGGGAAGCTGCCTGCTGTTTTGGGGTGACGGGCACAAAACCGCAGGGCAGGCCAGCACTCACGTGAACGTGGTTTTATAGTCGGTCCCGTCGATCCATTCCCATTCCCCCTCCACATTCTCATCCGTGAGCCCGATCCAGAAACGTTCATTCCTTGTCCTGAACATGACAAAATTCTGCAGCGGGGAGAGGGATCAGGAGGGAAAAGCACCAGGAACGGTTCCTTGAGCTGGCAAGCTCGGAGCAACCTCAGCTCCGCGTTTGCACCGTGGAGGAGCCGGAGAGGTACGACTCTGCGCTTGGCTATTGATTTACAAGGTGGAGGTGCAGGATGGGTGCCGGTGCTGCGTCTAAGCATCCCGTACATATAGAAGGGAAGTGCTGGATGCAGGCAGCAGGCAGGCAGAGCAGGTTCTGCCTGCTCTCTGCTGGTTGATGCAAAGGATAACAGCACCAGCTCTCCGCTGCCCAGCAAGGTTGGGGCGTGCAGGATGGCAGCAGGGAGATAGTGGGGGGGGGTGGTCTGCAGAAAGCCGGGGCTATGGGCAGGATTTGGGCAAGCCTGGGCTTTCCTGCCTGGAGCTGAGGTCTTTACCTGCTTGGCGTAGCTGTTAATGATAGCCAACTGCGAGTGCATCTCTTCGCACTGAGCCTTTGCCTTGTACCAGCTCATTCTGGTTAGGGAGAAGTAGTAACATTTTCCATTAAAGTATTCCCATTCCCTTGAGCCAGGTCCGCAGGGAAACACTGGTGGAAGAAGGATGGGGGGGGGGGAGTCAGGCAGTTGAGCCGGTCTTCGCCGGGCTCGTCCCAGCAAGGGGGTTTTCCCAGCAGCACTCCAGTGCCAAACTGGTACGGGCACAACGGCACGGCCCCAAAGCTTGCTGTATATTGGATTGCTGCGAAGGTGGCAACTAGCACCCAAAAAGGCCTTTATTACAGGGGAAAAATTGTTCTTTCTAAAACATAAAAGCATTTGCTGCTGGCAGAGCAGCAAACCCAGAAGGGGACGGATGCCCTGCACTGCCTTAGCAAAGCGATCCAGAGCAGGAACACTTTGGGGACAATTTAGGGAAACTTCAGAGGGGGAGAAAAGCTGGTGGGTTTGGGCAGCAGCCAAGACTTACGGAGAAAATCCCTGTCAGAAAAATTCTGTTTCCGTTCCAGCTGCACATCGTTGAGTTTAGAAGAAATGGCTGAAACTATTAGAGAGAGAGAGACGGAGAGATGTTGGGTTATCGGTTGTGTTGCTATCCAGGAGCTGACTGCCTGCAAGCACCTCACCCCTGCAAGGCTAAAGACATGTTTTAATTTTCCAGCAGCCTACAGGGCAAAGAAATCCCAGGAAATTTAAAATATGGGCTTATAGCTTGTATTAGCCAGAGATGGTGGCGTGGACATCAGCGGTCACTACGTGGGACAGTCCGGGAGCTCCTCTGGTCACTCTGTCCTGTGGAATTAGGAACTACAGACTCCTCTAAGCGCATGAGTGTGCACTTAGACCTCACGTATCTCTCGGTCCTACCTGCCTAATTAATTAGTTCAAAGATGTCCCAGTACCTCTGGAGAGCGACACAGCAAACAGGGTGATGATCAGCAAAAAGAAGAGGCCCAGTAGCAAGTATACCGTGAAAAAAGATCTCAGCCTCAGCGGGAGGAAGTTTCTGTCTTTAAAACAAAACAAAAGAGATGTGAAAATATTCCCCTCGGATCATCGGGATTTTTTCATAGCTTTTCTGGTTCCATTTATAGAAGGGTTAACAAATAGCCTGGAATAGTTAACTATTTGCTACAGAAGCCAGAATTTTGGTGATAATTCCTGTTCTGACCCACCTGGGGGGCTGAAAGGACCCCAAAAGAGATGGCTGTCACGCAGTGCATTGTGTTAGCACTGGGGTGGCCTTGCTAAAGGTCAGGGCAGGTGATCTCAGGTACCACATAAGCAAAATAAAAAGAAATTACAAGCTTACACCATGTATTTTGGGCTGCGAGATATTTCTAGACCCTCCTGGCTGTCTAGTAACCCTTTTCCAAAGGGCAACTGTTCCCCAAGTGACAGTCCGTGGTCTGTGGGGGGCTCTTTGCTGTCCCTAGTTGGCATCGGGTGCCCTTTTTGGAGGGGTTCAACCTTAGAAACACCATTGGGTTCCAAAGCTCCAGGAAAAGCCAAATTTTGCTCTGGTCCAGGACACTTCCAAGGCTGAACCCTCTCAGGTGTTGTTGGTTGGGCACCACCACCTTCACACCACCAAGAGATCTTCATCTCAGGGACGGCCCACACCTGCAGCAATGTCCCTTTCCCTCACCTTCCTCCTGAACTGCAATCCCAGGGTCAAGCTCGTCAGGGTGGGGGTCCCCATCCCAACCAATCAACCCTGTTAGAGCTGATGAGCCAAGTTGCCTAAGCAGAGGAGGAAGGAGGGCACGGAGCTTCCTCTCTCTCCAAACCCAAGCACGCTGGTGAAGAAAGACCACGCTACGAGATATGGTCTCATTACCCTCTTTGCTCGCACCCAGCTCCTCGAGGTGGTGGGTTGAAGGGCTGGCATAGCTGAATTTTACCTTTAAAAACACGCAGATCATCGTGAAGATGTTCCTCGTCCATCCTGGTAAGCTGTGGCTGGGAGGGGAGGGGGGGTTTGAAGCTTAGGACCAAGTAAGCAGAAGCTTTTTCACCAGGCTTTCTGGAGTAGAGAACCTGCAATACTTCCAGGGATGTTCAGTCCAATGGTTGTAATTTAACCTTTCAGGCTGTGTCCTATTTGTTTGTCCTCTCAAAATAGCAGCTTGGATTGTGTCCACTTCCAATAATTCAGCTGTCTGGAGGTTTTTCCTCCAGCCAAGCTGGGTGCCCTTTTTATTTGTAACTCTCTCCATCCCTTTGGAGTTAAAAAAAGGGGAAATTCTCAAGTTTCTGAAGGCGTTTTCTCCAAGTGTAAGTGAATGAACAGACCACTTTGGAAACAAGCGGGTCTGGAAAATAGAAAATGGTCTTTGGTTTGGAAACTAAAGCTGAAGGCACAAGCAATGCCCCAACAGATGCCCTCGCCTGAGAAAATAAAACTGATCTGGGTCTGATACAGCAGCTGGATGAGTGTGCCGTATAAATCTTTGCGTGATGGGAGCAGCTTGCTCCTCACAGCCCTGAGAGGACATGGAGAGCTGTTTCATGCGCTGGCTTCTCTGAGGATTTAGCTGGCTCTCTGTTAAGTCTTTTATTCTGTATTTTTAAAACAGTTGGGTATTGTACGTAAAGACAGCTGTTAAGGTGGGGTTGGGGGAAGAACTGTTCAAGTTAAAGGTTGGCAAAAGATGAAATGGAGATAAACAGTAGAAACCCCCTGAATTTGGAAATTAGAAGCAGTAAGGGTCTAGAACAGCCCTCCAAGAGCTTCGGTACATGTGCTAGGAGGCCAAGCTGCTCTTCTACCGGGGCAGAAACAGAACTGATGATTCAAAAAGACCCTTTCAGTCCTTTATTCCTATAATTTGCCCATGGTCATCCAATATTTACAGCTCCCCTCCCGCTTCCAAACCTGAAAAGCCCACTTTGCGCCACATAAACTTGTAATTGCTGTTCCGTGCTATTCCATGTTTAGCAATTATGCGCTCTGCAGAGATGATGGAAAACTGGCAAGTTGGGACCATCAGATATTAAATTACGTTGTTCGGAGCGCTGTGCCGTCAGGCTTGCAAACATCCCACTGCAAACATTGAGAGAACATTTAGGTTCTTGCTGCATCGAGCTGTGCCTTGACTGACTGACGGATTTTTTACTGGTTTTAATTTTCCCTTTTGCTGTTTTACCTTCATGCTCCGAGCCCAGAGAGGGCTGGGACAGAGAGTGCTTGAAGTTTTAATAACGCTAATTACTCCAGCGTCAATCTCTGGGCCTGTGATAAACATGTAGCAGTAGTTATTAAGCCAGCAGCCTTGGGATGCGTTCCAAAGCAGAGCTGGGGCATTTAGCTGTTGTTTATTTGCCCCAAAGCTACACTGAGATTGTGTATAAAAACAAAAAGCAGGCCAGGGCACAAAGACTGGTTGTTAATGAGACACACAGCAACGAGGATTTCATCACGGGGAGCAGGGAGGGTCACTGCCATCCAGGTCTGTCTGAAAGCCAACTGCTTATTGCGTAAACTGAATGGAGGGCAGGTGTTGTGTGGGGTGAAGAGAGCTGTATCTCGAGGCAGAGCCCAGAAAAGGCTCTGCTGAGACACTAATCCTCCTACTGTGCTTCCTAGGGGAATTCTCTTGTCCTAAGGGAGGTAAAAAACCCTCAATAAGCAACTGTGGGGAAACATCAGTTCACATCCTGGTCACTCTGGCTCAGGGAGGACGTGAACAACGTAGGAGAATCTCTCGGGAAGGGGATCGGGGTGTTAAGAGGATCCAGGACTTGGGTGTTGGTTTGAGCTCTTTGTAATTCCACGTGTTTCCCTGTCGTAAGGGGAAAAAAAAAGCTTTGCTAGGACTGAAGGGCTGACTAAATGGGGAGACAAATAGGTGGGTCTCTCTGAGGGACTCCTGTGCCAAGCTCTAGGTGGCCGCAGCCTGGCTGATGTCCTGACTCGATGACCCCTGCTTGTACCTTCGTCCCAGGACAGCAGCTCTTCAGCTGTTAACGCCCAAGGACACCGCTCAGTGTCAAAAGCTGCCCGACTCCTTTATTTTAACAAAGACGTTAGTTCAGTTAAAACACTGTAGCATGAGAAAACATAATACAAAAGCATTTTTATTTAATAAATATGGTATTTGATTTAAAAACATCCTTAGGATAGCAACATCACAACGCTTGGTGTCAGTTATCTGGTGTTACGACATTGCGGGGAGGAGGAGAATGCGGATAATAAAAGGGGATGAGGAAATGTGGCTGCTCCCAGCAAAACCCAGAGGTAATGGCAGCCCCTGGCGATTCCCAAGAGCACGTGCCAGCCCGATCGCTGCGCAAATGGGACGTGTGGCTCTTGGGACCAGGCGTTCAGGAAGCCCCGCAACCAAAACCTTTCTGAGGAGTTAATTTGAACTGAATTTGAAGAAAAGTAGAAGCAAGACAATATCCTGGGCTGAAAATGCTCGCTGTCTGGGCAGATGGCCTGAGCTCTTCCAAGAAAGCTCCAGCAGCCCTGGCACATGTCGCTGAGGTATTTCTTCCCCGGCAGAGTTTGGAGTGTATGTGCAGGGTGGTTAAGCAATCCGGAGTTAGATATTAACTGGAAGTCCAGGGTTTGGGCTGCCAGCTTGTTTTTCAGTGGCAGGAGGGCGCCTCACTTTGCTCCTTGAATTCTGTGCTCGTTAAGCTGCTGCCTGATGTTTAGCGGTGGTGGAAGAGGAGCAGACAGAGGTTAAACTTGTAACCTCAGCCAGTCTTTGGTAAGCTCATCAGTTGGGTTCCCAAAAGCTGGGCGCTCCCCGGCTTTCCTATTCCCCCGATTCACGGAAAAGGGGGGGGATCCTACCAAAACCGAATTCCTGACAAACCATTTTACACAACACACTTTCCGTTTTTGCCCCAGTGTAAATTCTGTCCCAAAAATACATCCAGCAGCAACCAGGCAAACAGTGACAAATGGCAAAAGCCCTGCTGCTTCAGGCTGTGCATCAAGGAATAAGTGAGAAGCTACAGTGGGGCAAACTCGCCTGAATTTTATCAATTACTTCATCTTTAAAGTGAGCCCCACCTAATTTGAGGTTCCTCAGCTGGGGCAGTGCTTGGCACAAAGCAATAACAGCACCCGGGGAAATCTTATCGCAAATGTCAAGGCAGAGAGTCTCCAGGCGCTGCAGGCTTGCTAAACAAGCCAGACCCGTGTTCGTCAGGGAGTAAGTGTCGCTGATCTCCAGAAACTGGAGATGTTTCATGTGGCGCCCGATGAAGCCCACGGCGGAGTCGCCGATGACGCAGTGACGCAGCACGAGGCGTTCCAGCTCCTCCAGGTGTGGAGCCGCTCTCTGAATCCCCATATCTGTTATGCGGTAGGTGCCACAAAGGCTCAGAGTCTTCAGGCTGCTCTGGGAGGAGACATTCAACAGATGACGATCGGAAAAGGCAGGGACATTGCGGATAACGAGATGCTGCAGCTGGGGCAGGGCCCTTGCGGCGGAGCCGCAGAACCAGGCAGCAGGGATTTCGCAGTGACTCAGCTCCAGCGCCGTAAGGGAAGGGGGGACGTTCTCGTAGGGGATGGGGCGGAGGTCCGTCTCTGTCAGGCACAGCCGGTGGAGCTGGGGACACCGCTTCCCGAGGGCGGCCAGCAGTGCCGGGGAGAGGATCCGCCTCTTGCTGCTGGAGTGGAGCGCACCCCGTACCCGCAGCGTCCGCAGGCTGTCGCGGAGATGCTGCCGGACCAGGTGCCACAGGGTCTGGGAGCTGATCTGGGGGCGAGAACAAAAAGGGCCTGTTCCCACGGGGTGGGGTCACCCCTGCCTGCAGCGAGGTAATTTCCCCCCCAATCTCAGCCCCCTGCCCACAGTGGGGTGATTCCTCCCCCCTGATTTCAGCCCCCTCCCTGCACTGGGGCAATTTCTGCTCCCCCCC